CCTAGGAAGGTGGAAAGTTGACCCTTTCCATAAAATCGACATATCCGAAGTGGCCCACCCATCCTGGAACTCAGTTTCTGTCTAAAATCGTAGACCTTAGCTTCGACGCAACACTGAGGACTAGTCCCTCCCAAGAGACTTAGCGCTGGCGCGGTTTGCAGTTGCGTCCAGTATGCCTTGGAGACACATAATATGGATCTACGGTAGCCGGCTGCCTGTAATAGAAAAGGTGGGGGGGGGGAGGCAACAACAGGTGCTAGCACTTTCATGTATGTATATGTGCATGTTCAGGTTGGTGTGCGTTTTTTCATTCCCGCAATAAGATTTTTCCTCTATTTCTGGCAAACAAGTAAAGCCGCAAGCTCGCCAGGCCCCATGTGCAATATGAATCTAGTAACTAACTCATCGCTTTTGTCCGGCGTACGCTGTTGGCTCGTCTCACTGACTCGCTTCGTCGTGGGCAGCCACTTTTTGGACGGAACGAACCACCTGTAATAATCAGTAGTCAAATATCTAAAACTCTAAAAGTACTGGGATGGCCCACAAAGATTGGCGCTTTTTTATCACAAAGTTTTTTGTGGAATATCAAGTGATTTCTCAAGACATTTTATATTGTCTCTCTGTAAGAGCTCTGTAGGATGTATGCCAAGCCTTTGTGCTCAGTTGATTTCTGGTAGTATCTTTATCATCAGCTGGGTTACCACAAGAATGCTGAGTTTTAGGCAGGAGTCTTGACCCCGGACAGGCTCAGACCCGCATTCATCAACTCCCGAGCGAGCGCCCGTTCTGTTAAACAACCAGGGCCGCTCTTACCCTTCCAGCGCTCAACATAGTGAATCGGTTAGCCGATATCGACAAGGCTCCGAGCGGCTGAAGCCTTTACAAGTTTTGGAGGTGTTTCATCCTAAGAGCTTCCTGTTAACCCTGGCTGGCCTACTAGGACTGCCTAAAGAAAGTTGTGCTGCGCTATCCTCTGAGCCGACTTCCATGCAACGAGGGAGTGGGTCGCAGTTAGAGTAGCGTGCCACTTTCGCGCTTAAAGCCACAGAAACGGGGAAGTAGGCTGGTACTCCGAGTGCGAGTTCTCCCATCATTCGCCCGCCCTATCCTCAATGTGCAGCGCTTGGCGTCGACGATAAGGTCCCCGCAGCGATCACGCTCACTTGCATTGAAGAAGAAGAGAGAGCGCAAATAAGTGGCGCGTTTTTGCAGTGGGTGGCAATGGTGAGTCGTGTGACACTCCGGCAAAAGCGGCAGCGCGGCGGAGTATTCAAGACTGCACCGATAATCACTACTCTTCCAGGACCGTTTTTGGCCAGCGCTGCGACCCACTCATCCCACGAACGGCATTGGCTAGGATTCTCGGAGGTGAGTGCAAAATGCAATTACTTGTGGGCTAACCCAAAACAGCAAAGACAAGCGGCTCCGTTTCTTACCCATCCGACCAGAATTTTGAGAATTCCTTCACATTTCGATTAGTGTTCCGTTGTGACAGTTGCCGTCGTACAGTTGGAGCTGTGGGCGGAGCTGAAAGGAACAGTTGCCTACCGTTTTGAATTTCCATTGAGAAATCACATTTTAGCGTGATCGTGAGGCGGTGCGCCCTTGCACTGCGTGGCTTCTCCTCCCCTTACTTGCGCGAAAGCGGAACGTCGGGACGTGAGTGACACCGCCCATACGATCAGGTGGAATACGCCTTTGACTAAAATTGTATTGAAATCTGTCACTATGAAGTCTTATGCTGTCAGGGCCCCAGGGTCCACAGTTTGCACTGATTTGATATGTAGATAATTTTGGAATGTCTTATTTTGTGCTTTTATCAGATTACAGGTTCATGACTCCTGTATCTGAAGGTGTGTAGCGGTTTTTGAATACAAAAGAGTTTTAGGCTATACATATTTATCATAATAACATCAAAGGGGAAAGGAAGGGAGTGGAAGACGGTCGGGGGTGGACCGTCAATCGTGGACGTACTCACTACACTGGCGTCGTCTTCGTCTTCCATGTCGCCTGCGCCAGCTTCCTGGGATACCTACCTCGCAGCCACGCCCACCCATGGTCGGTGGACCCGACACTGTTCGAAAAAGCTGTAACTCACCGCTATTACAACTTTGAACACGTCTCCGAGACCCACTAAACTTGGCAGCTCGGTTAGTAGACTGTGATGCTCCCATAACCTGAAAAATCGTTGTTCTCATGGATCAGAAGGCCAGTACCGATTTTCGGCTTCACGGTAACGCTCTTTGACGATTTCACGGAAAAATAAATGATATTCAGCAGAATTACAAAAATGGACAAAATCAGACAAAATGTGGGATAGCAGAGCAATTAGTGAGTATGATCTCTGAAAAAGTGCCGGTCGGAAGGTCCACATGTGCGAGGCGCGCCGCAAGTAGCGTAGCATGCGCGACAGTCGCACCAAAAAAAACTAACCTGTTTGGGCTCCACAGTAGGGTTATCTTTTTTCCTGCACACTTATGGTCTACACTCAAGCTCCAGGCTACCCATAATACGCAGGGATTGCGTTACAGTCGTGTCTAGTCAAACTGCAACGCTGAATATTAGGCGCACACGCAATAAGAATCGACGTCGGAACGTTGAGGATCCCCTGCGACAGGGGCACGATTGGGCCGTATCTGGTCGCTGCAGGGAATCTTAGTTGGTCATTCCAGTGAAGAGGTCGTAGTTGCGGAGGAAAAGTCTTCGGTTGTTGTCTCGTTTTTGCTGTTTCAAGTTCGCTCGCTCATCCGCCTCGACGGCAGTTTTCTGGGGAAAAATAGAGAAAGGCAAGAACCCCGGAAAAGTGGTAGGAAGCTGAGAGAATTCAGCGAGATGGTATGTGGTGAAAGGGGGGGGGGAAGGGAGAGGTCGCACAAGAGGGGGATTTTTGATAGGGAGGGGCTTTCTTTGTAATCCCCAGCGACAGGACGTGTCCTGGCAACAAAGCCTGTTTGGATGCATTGAACCTTAAGCATAGATGTCCTTCTTTCGTGCTTTGGAATTCATCCTCTCTGAAAAACTGTTAGACTCAACAGTTTTCCTTACATAAGTGTTGGTTGGAAATTTCTAGAGCCTACAGAAAATTTGCAAGAAAAAGCTTGAACTAAAGCGTCGGAAGCTTGTGACCAACCTACTATTCGGAAAAAAAAACGCAAATTCT